ACATTTAAAGAAGGTATTAGCACCCTAATGCATTACCTCCGTTTTGAAGAGTATTCAAATAGGCTAGAACTACTGTTAACTTCATTGAAAATGAGGGCCATGGGTTCAATCCCCAGAAGGGTCAACTTTTTTTTCTTTCTTTTTTTCTTTTAACATTTTTTATGTATCTCTCATGTCCAATTTGGAAAGAAAAAAGTGTTTAATTTTGATTTTTTAATCTATATAGGTATTTATTGGCTAAATTATGCTAAATCTAGTTATAAATATGGTACCTGATATTTTCAAAGTGTAATATAATCAAAACTAGACGGTAAAAGTATTTCATATTTTACAAGATCAACCAATATACTTTTTTAAAAATTTAGGGAAACTTTGAAAACAGGCACTCATTTGGGTAAATTTTAAGATTTTTTTTAATTAGGCTCCCTAAGTAGAAAAATGGTCAGACACGTGGTAAAAATGGGTGGGGTAGGGTAACATTTTTATACAGATTTCATAAATTTTAAGTAGAAACCATAATTTTGCTTATTTGGATTGTTAGCTGAATGGTACTATTTGTTTCTTACCAAAAATTAATGGGAAAACATTTTCATTAGAATGTTATTGCAGATTATTTAAAGGTTCCTACTTTCTAAAAAAGGGCCCTCCTAACATCCTAGCTTGAGTTCAGAAAAGTGGCCATAACTTGATTTCCGTATGGTAAACTTTGTTTAAATTTTGCATACAGGTGTACTTTAAGGTATACATCTGACTTATGATGTCAATTTTTTAGTTCCTGATAGTGCCCATTAGGGTCCTAATACCTTAATACAAAACTAATTAAATCCTTGTGTTCGGACGGATTAAACCAATTCTACATGTTTTATGTATACGTTTATTTTTCCGGGGCCAACAACATGGGAAATACAAATGCTCAGAACCGAACAAAATTTCGAATTTCAATTGATTTAACAAAGCTTAACATTGTAGTCTGGAGATTTATTAATTCTTCTTTAAACTCAAGAAAAAAATTAAATTACTCTACCCAAGACTATAAACATTATTCTCTCAAAGAAATATAAAGAGCATTTATCAATATAAACATTAATAAAACAACATTTTCTCATATTCGTTTTGAGTTATCTTGTTTTGTAAATTAATCGGAGGGTTATTTAGAATGACAGATATTTGTTTACATTGACAACTGTCCGTTTCTTAGAAAAGTCGACAACCAAGATTAGCGGCGATGTCTATACGCCGTATTTCCGGCATAGTTACTTGTGTGCTGCTCGCCATTTTGTGATTAAGGCCCTCATATCAATAACAGGCCAGATCGTCAAATTTTTGTTTGTTTACTGGGCCCTGTACGAGTATGTATTGCGCATACATAAAACCGGGCTATAACAAGAGCGCGTGACTATGTTAACACATGGTTTTGGTCCCGTTATAACATGGGAAACAGAGGGAAAAATAGCTGATTTTATGCTACAAATCTGAGATATCGCACTGTGCGTTATTACCAATAAAGTAAGTAATTGAAGCTTGTAAACATTCTCTCATTACAAAAAGAAATTAGATAATCCAGTTTTTATGCCACCGCAGCATCTGCGATGCGGTGGCATATAGCGATTCACCTGTGTGTGTGTGTGTGTGTGTTGGTGTGTTTGTTTGTGTGTGTGTGTGTGTGTTATATAGACTATATAGTGAACTTAAAAAATCTTCTTGTGAAAAACCACTGGTCCAATTTCAACCAAACTTGGCAGGATTGATCCTTGGATGAAGGGGTTCCCAAGTTGTTCAAAGAATTTCATTCTATGCAGAAATCTGGTTGCCATGGCAACCAAAAGAATTATAAGAATACATTTAAAAAATCTTCTTGTAAATACTTAAAAGGCCAAGAGCTTAGATATTTTGCATAAGGCATTGTCTTGTAGACCTCTACCAAGATTGTTCAAATTAAAGCCCGGGGGTCATTGATTTTCACTATATGTACATATAGTAAAAACTTTAAATACCTTCTTGTAAAGACCGAAAAGGCCTAGAGCTTAGATTTTTTTTTTCATAAGGCATTGTCTGGTAGACCTCTACCAAGATTGTTCAAATTATAGCCCTGGGGTCAAAATCGGCCCTCCCCAGGAGTGATTGATTTTCACTATATGTACATATAGTAAAAACTTAAAATACCTTCTTGTAAAGACCGAAAAGGCCTAGAGCTTTGATTTTTTGCATAAGGCATTGTCTGGTAGACCTCTACCAAGATTGTTCAAATTATAGCCCTGGAGTCAAAATCGGCCCCGCCCCGGGGGTCATTGCTTTTCACTATATGTACATATAGTAAAAACTTAAAATACCTTCTTGTAAAGACCGAAAAGGCCTAGAGCTTAGATATTTTGCATAAGGCATTGTCTGGTAGACCTCTACCCAGATTGTTCAAAAATTTAGCCCTTGGGTTAAAATCGGCCCCGCCGGGGGGTCATTAGTTTTCCTTATATGTATATAGTAAAAACTAATAGTATTAAAAAAAACTTTAAAAAAATTTCTTCTAGCAATTGACAAATGCTAGAGGTTAGATATTTTGCATGAAACATTGTGAAGTGAACTTATAGCAAGATTGTTCAAATTATAGCCCTGGGGTCAAAATTGCCCCCGCCCCGGGGGTAATTGATCTTCAATATATACTTATAGTAAAAAATCTTATTGTCTGAAGGTACAAGGCTTAGAGCTTTAATATTTTTTAAATGATATCATCTATAGGAACTCTACCAAAGTTGTTCAAATTTTGCCTCTAGTGTCAAAATTAGCCCCGCCCAGGGGGCCATAGGTTTTCCTTATATGTATAAAGTAAAAACTTAAAAATCATCTTCTTTAAATTTTCAAAGACTAGAGTTAAGATATTTTGCATGAAACATTATGTAGTGAACCTCTAGCAAGATTGTACAAATTATAGCACTGGGGTCAAAATTGGCCCCACCCCCAGGGGTCATTGATTTTCACGATGTAAATATAGTAAAAAAATAAAAATCCTCTTGTCTGAAGGTACAAGGCTTAGAGCTTTGATATTTGATATATAATATCATCTATGGGTCCTCTACTTAAGTTGTTTTAATTATGGCCCTAGTGTTAAAATTGCCATGCCCCAGAAGAGATAGTTTTCCTTATATGTATAAAGTAAAAACTTGAAAAAATCTTCTTCTCTGAATTGAAAAATCTTCTTCTCTGAATTGACAAAGGCTAGAGGTTAAATATATGGCATGAGACTTTGCGAAGTGAACCTTTAACGATATTGTTCAAATTATAGCCCTGAGGTCAAAATTGGTTCCGCCCAGGGGGTCATTGATTTTCATTATGTACATATAGTAAAAAAATAAAAAAACTATATTTTTATCTGAAGGTACAAGGCATAGAGCTTTGATGTTTGCTATATTATATCTATAGGTCCTCTTCCAAAGTTGTTCAAATTTTTCCCCTGGTGTCAAAATTCGCCCTGCCCGGGGGCAGTGATTCTCATTATGTACACATAGTAAAAACAGAAAATAAAACAAATGTTTTCTGAATGGGAGAAAGCTACAGCTTAGATATTTGACTTGAAATGTTGTTTGGTGGACCTGTATCAAGATTGTTTTAAATTAAACCCTTGGGTCCAAAATTTTGCCTTGCCCAAGGGGACAGTGATCTACTTTCTTGTCCTTTGATGTACAGCAATGAAATTTTGACCATGTGCACAGTTTTAGTTGTAAAATTGAATTTTGATATCAGGTGACCTAGATTTTGATGATGTGACCTACTTTCTTGTCCTTTGATGTACAGCTATGAAATTTGAACCATGTGCACCGATTAAGACGTAAAGTGAACTTTGATTTCAGCTGACCTAGATTTTGACAAAGTGTCTTACTGTGTTGTTCTTTGATGTAGTCATGAAACTTAGGCTGTGTGAAATATGACCTTCACCACCAAATTCACTAGACTCGAGTGCCTTGATATATTCCTACTCTGATCTTTTATTGAGTTAACAACAGATTTAACCACTAATCTGATAATAAGAATAAGATAGGTCAGGGATCTATGCATTATGACAATCTTCAAAATTGTGTAGAAACAAACAAAAAAATCTGTTCCAACACTACTATTTAGTGTTGTATTAATGCGGTGGCATAGCATTTTTCTTAAATGCAATCTTGTTTTGTATAGTGAAATGAAACCTACATCCCAAAGAAAACAAGATAATAATAGAAAAAATAAGAATCCTAAATATCCGTCTAAAGCTTCCTGACAATGAGATGGCAATGAGAGTTTTATAAGGGAACTGTTTTTCTTCGCATTGTTTCGGTGCTCACTGTAACCAGCCGTAGTGGCTGTTTTGTGGCAACGGCTGCTTTTTGTGAACATCGCTTTACCTTGTTATACCCCCAAAAACGAAGTTTGGGGGGTATATAGGAGTCACCCGGTGGTCGGTCGGTCGGTTGGTCGGTCGGTCCAGACGTCCGTTGCATTTTCCTTGTCCGGAGCATAACTTGAAAACTAATGGTTTGAATTCAATATAACTACATACAATGGTCAAGCACATTGAGAGGAAGTGCAGTGCACAAGAACCATAACTCTATCTTGACTAATTACAGAGTTATTGCCCTTTGTTACTTTTCCTTGTCCGGGGCATGACTTGAAAACTACTGGTTGGAATTCAAAACAACTTCATACAATTGTCAAACACAATAAGGGGAAGTGCAGTGCACAAGAACCATAACTCTATCTAAAGTAATTACAGAGTTATTGCCCTTTGTTGCTCTTCCATTGCTTTTTTTTTGTCCGTTGCATTTTCCTTGTCCGGAGCATAACTTAAAGACTAATGGTTGGAATTCAATATAACTACATACAATGGTTAAGCACATTGAGAGGAAGTGCAGTGCGTAAGAAACATAACTCTATCTTGACTTATTACAGAGTTATTGCCCTTTGTTACTTTTCCTTGTCCGTGGCATAACTTGAAAACTACTGGTTGGAAGTCCAAACAACTTCATTGTCAAACACAATAAGGGGAAGTGCAGTGCACAAGAACCATAACTCTATCTAAAGTAATTACAGAGTTATTGCCCTTTGTTGCTTTTCAATTGCCTTCTGTTTTTGTCCGGAGCATAACTTGAAGACTAATGGTTGGAATTCAATATAACTACATACAATGGTCAAGCACATTGAGAGAAGTGCAATGCACAAGAACCATAACTCCATTTTGACTTATTACAGAGTTACTGCTCTTTGTTTCTTTTCCTTGTCCAGAGCATGACTTTAAAACTACTGGTTGGTATTCAAAACAACTTCATACAATGGTCAAGCACAATAAGGGAAAGTGCAGTGCACAAGAACCATAACTCCATCTTGACTAATTACAGAGTTACTGCCCTTTGTTACTTTTCCTTGTCCAGAGCATGACTTGAAAACTACTGGTTGGAATACAAAACAACTTCATACAATGGTCAAGCACAATAAGGGGAAGTGCAGTGCATAAGAATCATAACTCCATCTTGACTAATTACATAGTTATTGCCCTTTTTTACTTTTCCTTGTCCAGAGCATAACTTGAAAACTACTGTTTGGAATTCAGTACAACTTCATACAGTTGTCAAGGACATTCAAAGGAAGTGCAGTGCACAAGAGCCATAACTCCATTTTGACAAAATACAGAGTTACTGCCCTTTGATACTTTTCCTTGTCCGGAGCATAACTTAAAACGTACTAGTTGGAATTCAAAACAACTTCATACAATGGTCAAGCACAATAAGAGAAAGTGCAGTGCACAAGAACTATAACTTTATCTTCAGTATTTATAGAGTTATTGCCCTTTGTTCTTTTTCTTTGTCTTTCTGGACTTATTACAGAGTAATTCAATTAAACTTCATCAATGGCCAACCACATTGAAAGGAAATGCAACCTACATGAACCACAATTATCTTTAATTGCCCACAACCATAACTCTATGTTTCAATTCTTTTGCAAGGTATTCTGTTACTAGTAATATCCTCATTTCCGAAGCAGACTTGTGGGGGTATTAATCACATCTAGTGATAGTTCTAGTTGATTTTTGTTCTTATATTTTTACAAAGTCCTTTATAGTGAAGTAGGTACCATATTGTTGACAAGCATACATGTATATCTCAAACTATTAAGTTAACACATTTGTTGAGCAGAAGCGTGTCCATTTGGAGATACCCCTTACAAAATTCCGGGCCTGTTCGTTGGTTGTTCCGAATTTCTTGGATCTCCTAAAGAAACTTACAATTGTTACTATGAACCATTATGGCAACACTGCTGTTTTACTTGTGAAGCTATAAAGAAATCTAACACGGCGTATAAAGGTATGTTTTTGCTAAGATTTCCTCAATATATAACGCCTTTTTAGCTCGACTATACGAAGAATATGGAGAGCTGTCCTAATCCCGGTCGCGTCCAGATTTCAGATTAAAGTTTTGGTGCAGTAAAATATTTTTCACTATTTCTTTTTCATTTCTTAAGGTATCAACTTCAAACTTCAAATATATGTTCCTTATCACCAACCAAATTTTATGTGACAAGGTTTATAACTGTAGCTACAATATTTCAGATTTATCTCCCTTTGAGCTTACTATACTATTTTTTACTGTTACGTCTTTATTTCTCAAGGGATCAACTTCATACTTCAAATAAATGTACATTATTATCAACCACAACTTATGTGACAAGGTTCATAACTCTAGACTATTTTCAGATTTAACTCCCTTGAGCTTTGAAATTAAGTTAACAAATGTTATTTTTTTACTATAGATCTAATTTAATACTTAATCATACATAATTGAGTTTTCTTTCATAGTTTTGTCTTCCTTACTCCATGGGTTCAGTATTTTGTAAGTCGAGCTTCGCTGTCTCCTCCTATGACAGCTCTTGTTGCTAAGGATATAATGTTTTTTGTGCTTTTTATGCTCAAATGGTGTAGTCATTGTCAGAGGACGATTTTTATCTTTTCTTTTTGAGCATAATCAATATGTTGCCTTTTGCCAAATTTTGTTTAGTTAAAAAAATGGATGGCCTTAATTTAATGATTACCTTTATATTGTTGTTTTTTTTTTATTGTTTTTTTTTATTTTTATTTTCATAATTCTTTTCATTGAAGGGCTAGGTACGTTTTGGGTCGATTTTGGCTACAAACTACAGTTTGAAGTCATCAACGCATCGCTTCGAGTAATTAAAAATATAATGACGCATACGTATTTTCTAAATTGTTTATCGTGTAATGCAAAGAAGTGGATGATACATTTGATGTACATTTCTACCGTTCAATAACGATTGTAGACACACATAATTAGTCACTGTGAAGTACATTAAAACAGACGAAAAAGGAGACATATACAATAGTTTTTATTTATATAATTTACTTACCCTACTTAAGAAGTGTGTTCAGTAATAGCTGTTTTATAAAATTACTTTAACAAGTTCATATTTAAATTTTCGTCACTGAACATTCTTCAGTTTAAAAGGGCTAACCAACGAAATCTATTAAAAGTTTGTACGAAGAGGCACATATTTGTAATACAACCGCTATGACAATATTTTTTTATTCAGTGGTCTTATGTAATTTCCTATTTAGTAAAGTTCAGAACTTATATGTATGCACGTGTTTGATTATCATCATCATCATCATCATCATTATTATTATTATATGAGGTTGATCTTACACATAATGCCTTGGTTACTCAACCTACCGGAATTGGCCGAATTACCGGAATCGGTGGGGACTTTACTGGTATCGATCTGTAATTTTGTTAATAATGAACTTTTAAAAAAATATACTTTCATTTTTATAAGATATAAACATTATCAATGATATGTCAAAAGATTTTGTTAAATCAAATCATTTCTAAAATCGGAGAGTTATTGCCGGATTCGTCGAGGGCCTGTAATTTGGTTATTTATTATTGATGCATTATAATAATATTTGTTTTGCCTGTTTTAATAAAACTTAAACGTTATGATTGACCTCCAAAAAATAAATGTGAAAAGGAAATCGGTTTTAGTTACATGTAACACTGAAAAAATGTTTAAATGGCGAAAACAGGAACACTGCCGGAATCGGCGAATGATTACCGAAACCGGCCTGTATTTTGCTTATATATGAATTTTTAACCAATTTTCTTGCATCTTTAATTAAATATAAAACGATATCAATGATAAATAAAAAAGACATTTGTAAAAAAAATCACTTTTTATTAATAAAACAAGATATTTAATGTCGGCAAGTTACAGCTATACTGTCGGAATCGGCGAAGGATTACCGGAATCGGCCTATAATTTGGTATTTTTTGGACTTTTTTACGTTTCTTTTGCATCTTTCTATTAAATATAAATATTATTTATCATATTCAAAATAAAATTTTTGCAAAATCGCTTTTGATAAATAATACAATAGAGTTACTGTCATACTGCCGAAATAGTAAAATGATTAGCCTCCCTTGAATTCCTGCCAAAATGTCATTACATTAGAAACGGAGACCACCTTGTCAAAGCACGTACGTGTTAGATTTTATATTGATTTATTAATGTTTATGTACTCGGTATATAGATTTTGCCATGTCTTTAATTTTCCACGCCATGCAGTACAGCTAAAATTTATACGAAACAAATAATTTTGAATCATCAAAAACTTAGGTCTTGAATACAAGATATATTCGTGTTTCAAATGATATTTGTCGGCGATCACCGCGGATAATTTACTTTTATTATTTTAAGATGACGTTTAAAAAAAAAAGAAAAATAATACAATGGAAAACGAAGAAAAACATAAACAAATGTACAAACACATAAAAGTCGGCAGTGTTAAAATCAAAGTTTGTTTTGTATCGTTCAAAAATAGATCATCATTATGCGAGGCTAAAATGTTTATATTCTGTTAAAAAAGTAAAATTCAAAAGAGCATGTAACGAGATTTAATACAAGATTTGTTTCTGTAACGGCCAAAATCGACCCGAAACGTACCTATCCCTTTCAACAAAAAGTTCTCTTAAAAAAATCAAGCAATTCGAACTTATTTTCACTTTACAGCTTGTTGTTTTGATGACGTTAAAGGTGACGTCATTTTTTCAGTTTGTACACGTACTCGAGTTCAGCGGGCAGATTATGATTGCGAGGTTTCGGCACCGTGCTGCAAACTCATTATCGTTATTGTGACTGTCATCATCAGTTAAAAACGTTGGGAAAAACGATTCTTTATAGACCTTTTTACAGTACGATTTTTCCATAGCAACGTATGTTGCATTTCGCGCAAGCGCATTCTGCGTAGGGCAAAGCTCAATAAAGATAGAATACATTTTAGTGTACTTAAAGGCTTTAAAAGGCGTGATTTCAAGTTATGTCACTCATAAAAAACAGAATTTTTATTATGAGTTAAAGCAGTAAGTTCTTAAAACGTGAATTGATATTCATATACCAATCTCATCAATGTTTATTGATTTTGTGAAGTGATAAATAGTGTATTTGACGTGCATTTCCATGTGTTACAAGGAACCGGACAAAATATGTGTTACTTAACTTCTCAAGAGTTTAAAAAATATTTAAATATATATGTGACCTAAAAAAAATTTTGTTTGGCATCTCATTCAAGTGGGATGAAGGATAAAATGAGCTAAATTGAAAACTAAAATTGCATTATAACACGTGTTCCGACTTTTTTTTCAGAATGATAATAAACCTCGATTTTAAAAGTTATAAAATTTATATAAAACGTTATATATTATAGGTTATAATAAAATAGTTTTTATATAGACGATCTCAACAACAATTAAATTGACTTCTTTATTTGCTAATATATATTTCCACATTTTTTACAACAAAAATTTCAATGTCAGGTCTGTGAGCGTAATGGGGGAAATCTTAAAAAATCGTCTTTCCGTACCCTTTTTGGGCAATCTTGGCCATAAAGCTATGAAGGCATCTTTTGTGTTTCTGTTAAAAGATATTTTATATGATTTTCTAATTTTTACCTTAAACTAACTTGGAATTGTCTATGAATTTATACTAAATTTCTATGTAGGGCAAGGCTCTTTTTGCCCTACGCAAATTGCGCATGCGCGAAAAACTACTACTTCCGGTCATTTTTTTCATAGCAACTGACCGCGTCGTAAAAAGTTCTATATAATTACACGTGTAATTACAGACTTTGTCACATCAACAGCGACACAGGGGTGTAATAAATAGATGATTTTGAATGAATTTAAGCAATAATATCGGTCTCAACGGTGTTTATCGGCTATTTAACACCGGTTTGGAGTTTTGATGCGTAGGAATTGACCATGAAGGCAATAGGCCTAAGTGGTTTTTTTCGCATCAATACGACAAAACCAGTGTTAAATAGCCGATAAATACCGATGAGACCGATATTATTTCGATTCTAACAAGATAAAATAAGAAAGATTATTAATGTTATTTATTCAAGCGGAAATAACTTCTGATGTCGATTTTCTTATAACGCCGTTTGATTTAACACTCTACTGTTGCTAAGATATAGAAAATATTTAACAAAAGAAATAATAATAATAAAATAATATTTTTATTATCAAGTTTTCAACAATAAAAACTCATGTCTTAGAATGGATTGTATAGAGGATATTAAATGAGTTTAAATTAAATTTATTGAACGAGTTGAATAAAATCATATTGTTTTATACAACGAGTTCAATAATTTTTGTCTTGAATCTACACGAATATAATATTCTTTTTATCACATATATAAAATAAGAACAGTAAACTGTTAAAATGAGTAATTTTTCTATGGCACGTTTATAGTGTAACGCTAACATTATCGCGCTTTAAAGCTATGTGTCTATGTAGCGCAAATGACGTCACGTCAAAGTGTTATTACACTAGTGTAAAATTGTTTTTATTAAATGACTTTATTACATCCCTGCGCTGCGGTTTATGTGATAAATTGTGTTTACATCAGTGCCCAATTTATCATTCTTGTATGTTTGAAATGACGTCAGCGTTTATGCATGAGTTTTATACTTAGGATGACGTCATTACGCTGCTAAAGGATAAGCGCCGTTTTGTCAAAATATTTATTAATTAACTGATATGGATCAAATCCTTGGTGTGAGTGTATGTGAGATATTATTTTGGTATTGTATGAAAAGAAAACATTATAAGAACTGAAAATATAAATTAAGACTCCTTTTTGTGCCCCCACTTTTGGGGACGGGGGGGGGGGCATTTAGATTTACCCTTGTCCGTCCGTTCGTCCATCCGTCCGTTCTCTTTTCTGTTGCACGTAGCTCAAAAAGTATTTGACCTAGAGTCATGCAACGTTAACCCATTACTTAATAAACAGTTT